GTGTAAATGTATCCAGCCCATGGAGATCTACAGCTGCACCTCAGTACCACAGAAAATCCATACAATGAAAATTGCACTTTGAATCTCAAGGCTCTTGAGAAGCTGAGATAAAGTGCAACACTTATCTTCACAACATGGATGCTTTTTTCTTTCAAGATGCATCTACTCTTAAGGTCTTATGTACCTCCCTGAAGATCTCTGCAAGGATGCTCACCAATCCTAAGCCTGGGATGGCCTTACAATGCAACTTAATTCTGAGATGGAAGCATGACAATTTCTTGATTACATTTCAACAGCAATTGAGACTTCAGCACATTAAGTCAAGGAGGAGGCGGTGCATTTTCTGATGAGCTTTGGGTCCAAAATGTGATTGTGGTAGAAAATACATGAAAACCTTATAAGGGATTAAAAATTTCCCTGCAGTGCCCAAAACCCAAACAGAAAAGCACTATTCCAGTGTGGTTAAAAGCCACACTAGCAAAAACCCCAAACCAAACAAAATCAAAACAAAACCACCTAAAAAGCACAATGAAAGAGACTAAAAGCAAGAGTGAAACTTGCTAGGCTGTCCTCAGTAACCAACTTCAATCAAACAGAATAAATTAATGCAGAGTCTAAAATTTTAAAGAACCAGTTCAGAGCTGTCTTTTTTATCTCAATACTGACACTTCAGGAAAAAAGAAAATCCTATAGAGGAGCTCACAGTAGAGATTCAGGGGCCTCTGAAGAGCAGAGTAGCACAGGAGATCCCCACACTTCAAAGCAGCTGCATCACTAACAGTTAGCAAATAGCAAAATCAGGAATGGAAAAGTGGAGCAATGAAGATACAGCAGGCAACTTCTGGAAACCATACAGCTTTCAGAAAGATTGGCTACTGGTAACACATTGATGCTTTTGAAAAAAAGCCTGGAATGTGTGGAATTCTCTGGGATGCCAGGGTGCAAAAGGGATCTCATTAGCTAGGGCTTTCAAAATCTGCTGCCCGGTTGTTGCCTATTATTCAGAAAGCAAGATGGCTTACATCATCAGTTTCTGTAAAGTACAATATTCCACTTAAACTGCCAGATCTCTAGTCCCTCAGACTGAGAAATCATCTTTACAAACAACTATTGAGGCATTGAATCCCAAGTTTACACACTAGTCCAGCACTTCTGTGTTTCCATATTACCAAGATAATCAAGCACCTAATAATAACACTGGGCAGCACCACACTGCTCAGTTCTCTTGCTGCCAACAAGAAAACTCTAAGCAACATCCAGACTGACAACAATCATATTATTCCCACATGGTTCTGCTTTAGAAACAGACCCTGGAACAACTGCTCATGATGAAAAGCAGTGGAGAGGCAGAAGGGCAAAGTAGTTAGAGCAGGAAAGCATTTCTCACTGTTGTTTCTCTTACATTCAGAGGACGGGAAAGGATTCATATTTGCAAGATGCTGGATGGCCAGAGGCTTAAAAGAAAGATGAAAGGACAAGCATCATCTGGGGAGGCAGAGGTGAGGAACCTTGAGTTTTTGAAGATGACCTGCTTGTAACTGCCCAGAATCCATCCTTTATTGTGCTTAACAAAGTTTCCCAATCACACTGAAGAGCGACAAAAACAAAGGGCAACACATAGGTAAATACCTTTACCAGTAGCTTAGTAGAGGACTTTAAATACTTTTCTTAAAGCAGAGTATACACAGACTTGCAAATGTTCACCATTGCAACAGCAACAGAGCTGAGAATGTTAAGTCCTCATGAAAATGACAGCAGTAGTGATAAGCATTACTGGGAAAATGCCAGTTTTAATTAATTTTAATTCTTTGTTAATATTGCCTGAATCCAACATAGATATTTTAATGTAATGATAGATAATTTTCAGTATAATATAAAATATTATTATGCAGCACTGTATTATATGTTATTTTCAAGAGAACTCCTTTCCTGATCCCCTTCCCCCGGTATCATCTCTGCAATTGCCAAGGAATGGTATTCTGGGCAAGGAATGCCCCTCTAACCACTGGCTCCAATAGCTCTTGAGATGGCATTAGCCCATAATTTCCTTTTCCTAATGCAGCCTGAGTGTTCAGGGAAATCTCAGAATGCAGCTGGCTTATGAGGCCTGGAGAAAAAGGCCTTCCATTGTCACAGCTCAGTATCTGGGGTGTGTCCAGTAGCATCTCAAATCACTGTGCTGCATTTGAAGTCAGAATATGAAGAATGTCTCACTATGTGGCAAGACAGGCTAGTAGTTTTAAACTGAATACTTGAAAAACTTGTGGTTGGGCTGCACTGTCCTGGTGTTAACATCCCAGTACATGGTGTCTCAGTCAATGCACCAATAAGCCCAGCCCCTCCAGACTCATCATATGCAATAAATTCAATGCAGCCATCACAGTCATGCCATGGGTGGGGGGGCTGCATGCCTGTCACCAGCTTGTTCCTTGTGGTTGTGAGTCCAAACCTCCAGCCAGTTCTGAATTATTCTTAGATGTGTCATTTGGGCTGGACAGCCAAAATACAGCCCTGAGGCCATCCCATCATTTCCATGCTCACCACAGGAGACTGAAGTCAGTATGCCTTAATGGGTGCTGATTAGATCCTGGGCAGATCTGTGACCACCTGTGATTGCTCTCTTGGTTTCAAAAAAAAACTACTGGGTGTAGTAACTTGAGTGTAATACTTTCAGGAGTGAATTATGTAGGCACTTCATGCATAAAACAAACATTAGCATAGTCTTGCTGAAAGTAATAATGAAGGAGGAGGCGTCAGCCCAGAGAGGAGAAAGCACACTATCATTATACACTACAGGGAAGATGGGCAGCTTCCTGCAGGCAGTTTTATCCGTCCCTTGGGAACAGTGAGCGGTCTGGAGGCCAAAGGGAGGTATTGCTGTGGGTGTGTATGGATTCTGGGGGAATGTGAGGAGATAATGTGTAGAGTGGTGCTGTTCAGCTCTGGGTCTCAGCTGAGATATTCAGATACAGCACTATGTAAATGCAGCTCTGCTGATCCAATACTGGAGGGGGAATAAAAGCAGCCAGAAGAGGCAAGGAAGTTGACTGCTCATGTACGCTGGATTGTATCAAGATCTCCATGCACTGCTGCATGGAGAGAAGTGAAGAGGACAGGGAAGTGTGCTTTGAGCAGCTGTACAGCTGCAGGCAAGACACACACCTACTGGAGGATGGGTGGGGGCAAAACCCAGCGTTGTGGAGGATCCCACAGACCTAGAGACATCTGCAGATCTATCAGTGGCACTGTGCTGCATACAAGAGGAAGGAGGAACAGCTGGCAAACACAGGGAAGATCATGCCCAAAAATTTCTCCTCTCTTAAAGGGAGAAGGAATTAAAAGAAAACCAAACACTAAAAAAATTTATCATCACAGGGATAAAGCCAGACTCTCTAATTAAGCAGATGACATAACTGTGCTGTAATATCAAGATTTTGCTCTGTGATTTGCAAACAAGCTGCACTTGCACAATCCAGAAAGAAAAAAGCCATACCAATTAGAACAGCCAAGCTCTGCTCTCACTTACTTTAGTATATACCCACACTTACTCAGCTCAAAAGACCTACAGATGAGAATGTGATACGAGGAGTTTCATTTCCTCAGACAGTTCCCTCACTAGCCAAGCCAAGCCTCCTTCTCACTGCAGTTTCCAATCACAGCCCAGCACTCTGCTCTGATTACACACTCATCCTGAAACCACAAAAAATCTCCCTCAGTCTCATCTATGGCTGATGTATATTAATACATCACCAGCAAAGTCACTGTACAGCTGCTGAGTATGCAGCTTAAATACCGTTGAACACTTAAGGCTTGATTCTGTTAATCAGGACAGCTTCATTGATACTACAAGAGTTACATATATTCCACAATGCTCCAAAGTGAAGGAAATCCACATTTTTTAAATGGCATATTTATGGAAACTACCTAGAAGAGGGTATGGTCTTGCTTGTCCTGGCGTAAATTCACTTTGCTCTACTTCGTGGAGCTACTCAGGATTTAGAGGGGTACAGCAGAAGGCAAAAACTAAGCCAAATTCTCCTTTCAAGCCACTCCTTTTCTTTAAACAGATACTGAAAGGTCAGAACCAATACCAATCTCTGCTACTCCAGACTTCCAACCCACAGCCCTATCTATCAGAAAAACCACGTATCCACAAGTGCTTGGGAACCGTATGCACCAGTGAGAGTACAAAATCATTACACTGCTGTGAACACGAGCCATATTCAGCAGAAATCAGCAGCTGTTAGGACTACAGAGCTTTTCATTGCTTTTATAGTTTGGGTGGAGAAGAAACAGGATTCAAGCACTGCTCATAACACAAGTTCTATATTGCCTTGATCTTTATCCTCCTCCTCCTCCTCCACCCTCCCCTCTTCGCCCTTTAGGGCCACTCTTTAAACAGAAAGAAGTCATTAGCCAAACTTTCCTCATTTTATGGCCCCGACAGTTAGGTAACGACGAAGCAGTTTTATTATTTCTACTTAAGAGCGTTAGATCGGGAATTCAGAGACACTACTAAGGGGAAGATATCTGTCGGGGAAGGGGGACAGGCCGGCAAAGGGAGAAAACGCAAATATGCCCGAGTGTGGCGGATCATCTCCATCAGCCCCGGCGCCCAGCTGACAGACCTCGTCCCACTCCCTGGCCAAACCCTTGGCTGCAGAAGATGCGTCCCGAGAGCCCCGCCAGCCAGCTCCTTACGTAAGGCACAAACCACTGACATCATCCCTCCCGCCGGCATCGCCGCGGCGCCCAGCGGCGCCCGCAGACCCGACCCGCGCCCGCCCGTTCCCTTCCCACTCTGCTGCCCCGCCAGGGCTCCTTTCCCACCGACTCTGCCCCCAAACTTTGCACGGCAGGTTGCCAGGGTTTGGCTTTCCCCGCCGGGTGCCCCGCGCTGCGGTGCGCTCCATCCATCCCGCGGTGCGCCCCATCCATCCCGCGGTGCGCCCCATCCATCCCGCGGCGCTCCCATCCATCGCGCATTCCGTGGTACTTACGCACTGCCTCCTGCTTGGGGTCGAGGCCGCGCACGGCTCCCTGGAGGCCGGCGATGCGGCCGTGCAGCGCCCGTACGCGGCGGTGGGTACCCTGGATGTCAGCCTCGACCTCCTGGAAAAGGGTGCAGGCGTGCCGGGCCACGTCGGAGAGCTGTCGGAGGATCCGCGACAGGGCTACGTTGCTGACCGAGCAGAGGTCCAGCACCATCATCACCGCTGCCGCCTCCTTCTCCCCGCCGCCAGCCGCCTCGGCGCCCTCGCTCGCCGTTCCCGGCTCCTCCGGCGGCGGGTCCCGCGGCGGCGGTGGCGGCTCCGCGCCCCAGCTCTCCTCCAGCACGGAGGCGGCGGGCTGCCGCCGGCACAGCCGCTGCGGCTCCACGGTCCGCTTGGCGAAGGGCATGGCCGAGCCCTCGGCCGGAGCTCTCCCGGGCTCCCGCGGGCACTAGCGGGGATCGCTCTCCTCCTCCTCCTCCTCCTCCTCCTCCTCGTCCTTCTCCTCCTGGCCGCCGCCGCTCCTTGCCCACCGCCGTCACTCGCGGGCGGCCGCCGGCGGGCGGCTCATCGCCTCGCTCCCTCCCTGCGCGGGGCTCCTGGGCTGCGGGGCGGCCGCCGCGCCGCCGAGCATCCGCCGCCGCCGCTGCCGCTGCCGCCGCGGGGAGCCGGGGCACATCCGCGCCGCTCGCTCGCTCTCACGCCGTCCCGCTCCGGCGGCGGGTGTGAAGGGGCGGCCCGAAAACCCGGAGAGAGGAATCCCGCGGCCGCGAGGAGGAGCGAGCCGCCGAGCCTCCCGCCGGGGGAGCGGCGGGGCGGGGACGGTGCCGAGCGCCGCCGCCGCGGGGAGGCGCTGCGGGGCGGCCGCGGCCCCGGCCCCGGTGCGCGGGCGGCGGAGGCAGCGGCGGCCCCTGCCGGGCGGGTCCGCGGCTCCGGGCAAGACCGGCCTCCGAGCCCCCGGCCCAGCCCCGAGCCCCGCGGGAGCAGCGCTCAGGTGCGCAGAAGGAAGAAGCCGCTTCGAGGGGCAGAAGGGAACCCGACTCTCAAGGCCCCGCTGCGGTGGGAGGGCGGTGCCCGCCCGCTGGTGGCACCTCGTGGGGCGCCGCGGAGGTTGTCGCGCTCCCTGGAGTCAGGTGCATGCGCTCGGGCACCGGCTTCTTAGGAGGTGTCAGGGAAAGCTGTGTTCCCGTCAGACGAGGAGCGCTGCTTCTGACGTACGCAGCTCGGCTTGCGTACACACACTTCTGAAAGGTGAACGTGCCTAACAAGCAGGCATGAAACCCGAACACAAACTCTAAATGATTGGTAGTAAATGCCTCTGAAAGAGGTACTGTAAAAGAAGATCCAGGCAGATGCAAATGCAGGGATTCCACAGTTTGGAAGCAGCAGCTTGTTTGCCCACTTGAGCTTAACTTGTCATCCTTGCACTTGAGTGTTGTGGTACAGTCTGTCATTACATGACCACATAGAGGCAGCTTTTAATTACCTCTGGTCAAATAGACTGAGTTGCAGAAGGCATCATTGCCAGCCTGGTGATACATATACTCCACGTTCTGTAAATGAAACAACCCGCTCCTGCGACAAGCTTAGGTCCGGGGTGGGGGGGGGGGGGGGGGATGCAGCTGCTTTCACAGAGATCAGAGCCTGAGCTGATGAACTTTGCTGGCCCTGTTTGTTGCTTTTAGCATGGATCATTCATGTGCCTTCTTCACGCTTTGCCTCTAGAAGGAGGAACACAACGTGACAAAAAGTCAGCTCAGATATTTAGCTGAGGTTTCTGACTTGGCTTGAAATGGGTTCCAGCCCTATGCTTGGGCAAGGAGGAAGGCACAGAGCCTGTCCAAATCTCAGCACCACTTGCCCACACTTCCTGGGGGGCTTGAAATTCAGGTGTGACCCAGTGGGAGCGAGCAGGGACATGAGAGTTGTCAGAGGTCATGGGGCAGTGCTCAAACAGTACTAAAATTATTTATTGGACCCAAGATGAGCCACTACTAAAATCACTGGAGTATTTGTACCCCATATTGCTGAGCTTCCTCTGCAGCTGAGAGGCTTTTAGCTCTTGTAATGAAGCATGGACTGTACTCCTCTTCCTAGCTGGGGGAGTCATGATATGTTATTATAAACCACTGAAAGGTATTTTAATATTTCACTTGAGATTCATAAAGCAGGTGAGAACAGTTAAGTTTTAATGTTTCAGAAAGAGTAGCAGCCACCCAAACTGATGTGGGATCACAAGAAAAGGACCAGGAAACAGCAGTATAGCTTTACCAGGCAGGAGCAGGAGATACCTCTGAGGAAATCAGCTCAGGCACTCATTTGGCCTCTCTCTCAGGAACATGATAAGCCAGTGAATTGAGTCATAGGTAACAGGTAAAAGCTACAAGGGGTAGGATTTTAGATTGCACCTTACCACAGCCTCCCAATTGCACCTACTCTCTGATTAGCTTAGACAGGACAAGAGCTGTGCAGCTCTCTTCCTTCCCTTGACAACAGCACCTTGGTTCTGGCAGTATATCCCTAATCAACCTTAGCAAAGCTACCAGAAGTCAGTGCTTCTTCCTCATTTACTTTTCCTAGTCTGTTATTACTACTTCACATTACATAGACTCCGTGGTCTCTTTTTTTGTCCCATGTTTGGAAAAGTACAGCTTACCTTAGGGACCCTACTAGTCCCATGACAATTGTGTGACTTGAGTACGTGACACACAGCACCAAACCACACAGGAATGAACCTGTTTAAAGGAGGAAGGTTCTGCCAAGTCTGTGCATCTTCACCATAAGGAGCATGTTTTCATTTTGAAGGTCTATAGCACTACTGTCCTTCCCTGCACAAGTCTAGATGTTGCATTTTTCTTAGTTTTCCACTGCAAGCAGAACAAACTCCATATGCGGCTTGGGTAAGGGGCACAGGCACATTCTACCAGGCAGGTGGAGATACCATGTAACTTTCCTCTGGTCAGAGCACAGCTCCCGTCTTTGCAGGTGCTGAGGAGTCACATTGCCCTCTATGTGGTTTTTTATCAGTAATATTGTGTGGTGCAAATCCAAATTCAGTAGCCTCTCAGCTGCCCCTGGGGTTGCTCTTGGTATATCTGTTCAATAGCAGAGTAAGTAAGAGGCAAGCAGTCCTAAAGGCTAACCTCAGACTCACCCAATGGGACTTGGGAGTCTCTTACAGCAAAAGGAGAGGAAAAAACCTTCGATGGGGGATTTTGAATGTTGTCTCAATTCTGAAGTGCCCCTCAGAGGTGCTAATGCCTCTGCGCTGACTGGAGGCTTCTCTTGGCTGGAGTTAACCTCAAGACCCAGAGTATTTAATTTGTGAACACATCAGCCTGGCCCAACCAGCTGCATTGCTAGATTTCAAGAAGCACTTGCTGACCTCAGAGATTGAGACATGTCAGAAAGAATATGAATCGTGAAATAGGTGAAACTATTCCTTGTGTATTTATTTATGGCAGGAAAAAAGTCATGTTGAGCTGTACTAGTTTCTTGCATGTGTATGAGCTGTACTCACTGTGTTAGTTGCTGTACATTTAGGTTGGGATGCTGCTGGGGTGGCATTGGCTTTCACCCACATCAATGAAAGGCAATGGTTTGCTTTCAAACATATACAATGTGGGAGTGCAAGAGTGGGCTAACAGAGTAAAAGAAAGGTCCTGCTTGATCTCTCACTGGTGCTGCTGGGGGCAGCAAGCACCTGGTCATAGCCCACAGCAACTGTTGTGCAGCTTCCCACCCCCTTGCCAACCCCTGCCCCTGTGCTCATTCTGGCTGCTGGTAGCCTGGCTGAGGTGTGACTTCACTGCAGCACCAGCCAGGGAGTATTCCTGCCGTTGGAGAAAGAGGGCAGAGCCATTGGCAGATAAGAAGGGATCTGGTTTCCTGCTGCAGCGTGCTACAGGAAACAGGGAGGTGGGATTAGGCAATCTCATCCAGTTTGGCAGGGCTCCTCTGGCTTGCTCCAGCGTCTCTTGTACTGCAGTGCCAGAAAGGGAGGAGAGGCTGATGAGTGCTGTAGGCTATTGTCATTTCCTCCTCTTTCCACAGCTGTCAGGAAGGTGCCTTTAGGCATCATATTAATGAAGTTGTGGCCTTTTGGCCATAATGTGGAATCTGTCATCGCTGGTGCTAGCCCACACTAAATATATCACCTATTTATTCTCAGCAAAGATGTCACAGACAAAGCATTCCCAAACCTGTACCCACTTAGGCTAGCAAAATTATCGTTTTTTGGAAAATCCCTTCAATATTCAGCTGCCAGTCTGTGCTTAGACCCAGTGACATTCCTTGAATAAGGAATAATATGGAATAAGGAATAAGGCCACATTAAATGTAAAATGCCATAAGGCAGGAAAGTAGCAGTCAGGGCAGTTCCCTATGAGTTTGAACCTGCTCATTTAGGACTCTCAGTCCTGCCAGTTTGTTTCAGCAGGTAAAAGTTAAAACAATTTCCTAAATGCGGGACATTAAGATTTTTACTGGGAAATACCTTTCCTGAAGAGGATCTCTAATTTTGAGTGATTTAGTAAGGCAAAAGGCTGGTAATTGAAAATTTTATGGTATGGCCAGGACACAGAGATGACTTTATCCTTCAGTGAAGGCCATACTGCTGATGTACTGAAACACATATCTTCTTACTTTTGGTTCTTGTTTCCCTAAAACTTTATTGGTGCAAACAGTTATACAAATGGAGGCAGCATGCAAGAGACCACAAATCTCTTCCAGGAGTTGCTATATGAATATGACTAGCTAGTGGTGTTCTATAGGTAGGAGTATTGCCTGTTCGTCCTTGTTCCTCTCACAATGCTCACAAAATCATTGATGCTGCCAGTTTGCCATCACTAATAAAGCTGTCCAGTCTGAATTTTCTCTCGTTCTCTGGGCCAGGGCACCCTCTTCCCTCATTTTTTCCTTCTTTGAGATAAAGAATTCTACTGTCCTCAGTAGAGCTGTTTCCTAATCTTTCTCACACCTCCAGCTGAGGAGGCGTACAGGCATTAGAATGGTGAGTGTTTCTCTGCATTAATCTCTCTCCTGTCCAACTGCATTTCCCGAGGCACTCACATGCTGTCACCAGCTTACACTGATCCGGCCCACTACTGCTCTCTCTGGTAGTTGTTAATATTTGTATTGCCATAAACCTCTTCACCCTTGAACTATGAGCCCACTAATGTAGTCATTGGTTTAAGTGGGGAAAATACAGGGCCTGCAGGAGTCCTTGTACCTGTAGGAAAAGGAATTAGTGGACTCTGCATGGTGCTGCAAAACAGAATTGAATACATTCAAGCTAACTTCCTTTCTCCAAAGTCTCCTAATTATAGTTGTTATAGAGTTTACTTGCAATCAGAGTAGGGATGACATTTCAAACTGAAGAGTGATTATTAAATTGACACTTCCTTTAAAATGTGTCTGAAGTCAAGACTGACATGCTAATTGAATTTTATTAGCAAGAAATGTCTGTTTTAATAGGAGATCTTCCTAATCTCTCTATCAAATTTATGCTAAGTGCATACCTATTCAATGTTTTCCATCATTGCTACCTGGTATTGCTAGTCAAAAAAAAAAAAAAAAAAGGCTCATTGGAGCATCTTCCTGAGTAGCAAATGCTGTAATTTCCTTT